TTCCACCAGCAATGAATAAGAGTTTCTGTTACTCCACATCCTTGCCAGCATTTGCTATTGCCATTTTTTGGTTTTTAGCCATTCTAATAGGTGGACAAACATATTTCATATTTGTTTTAACTTGCAATTTCCTAATGACATATGATGTTGAGCACATTTTATGTCCTTACTTTCCATCTGTATGCCTTCTTTGATGAGGTGTCTGTTAAGATGTTTTTTTTTCTGTTTTTTATTGGTTTGTTTGCTTTCTTATCATTGAGTTTCAAGAGATTATTGTATATTTTGGATTCAAGTCCTTGATCAGATATGTGTTTTGCAAATGTTTTTTCAGTCTTTGGTTTGTTTTTTTCTCTCTTACCATTTGTCTTTTGCAGAACACAAGATTTTAATTTTAATAAAGTCCGATTTATCAATTTCTCCTTTCGTGGATAATTTTTTTAGGTATTGTATCTAAAGATGCACTGCCAAACAAAGGATTACCTAGATTTTCTTCTATGCTATCTCCTAGAATTTTATACTTTTGTGTTTTATATTTAGGTTAATGATTTATTGTGAGCTGACCTTTGTGAAAGGTATAAGATTTGTATCTAGATAGAATTATAGGTGGTTTTTATTTTCATCTTTGGATTTTTCTGTGTTCTAAAGGTTTTTAAACAACATATAGTATTTTTAGAGTGAAAAAATATTCTAAACTCTAATGTTGCAAAGTGTACACTGTTGCAAATTGTACAAGGAACAAAAATTATAAAAATTAATGACTAAAACTTATAAAAACAAATGAGAAATTTTCCTCTAAGCTCCATAATAATATAGATGGAAAAACTCTGGGAGGTATGAACTTGGGATTCTAGGCTGTGACTCTTGATGACTAAATTGATTTTAACAGAACAGTGATGAAATTAGTAATTACTGACAAAAAATCATTTGTGTTCTCACTATATGGGCACTGACTATTCAGATCCTAATAGAACATGAAGATATTTTCCCAGTGAATTAAATGAGCCTAGTATACTTACAGGAAAGGGCATCAGAATACAACTTTGTAATGGTCTATTTCATAAACTAGGCGATATGTACACATACATTTTCCTTTTATTCTTTAAACTGTATATACATTTCCTATGCTTTTATTTAATATATGTATAACATATTTTAAAATAAAACTGGGAGGAAAATGTAAGCATGAATCCTTGAAAACAATCTGGCAATAGATTTACAATCAAACCAGCAAAAATTTATTTTTTTCCTAACATCAAATTTTGATATTAAAAACTGTAAAAGCAGATCTCTTTAATGTGATGCTAATGGAATTGAATGCATAAAATTATGCATCTATTTTTCTAAATTGATTAAAAGAAGTCAAGATTTGCTTGAACTAAAACCCAGTTTAATGTTTTCCTTTTGGAAAGAAAATGTTGCCCTGGTTAGTTGACCTACTCTGTTTGTTATCCTGGTGGCAGTACAGCTAATCATCCCATAGAGGGAAAGGGTAGTATGTAAATAAAGAAGGAGAAAACAGTCATTATAGTGATACTGATCTCAGACTACACAGATTGCCTTAATGTGTAGAACCACCATATGGCAATATATTGCCTTTGCTATTCTTTCCTTTCTCTCTTTCTTTCTTCTTAACTTTTTTTAAATGGATATCTTGGCCTACTTTAGCTTAGTCTTTATCTAAGTTGGAGA